TGTTTGTGGTTGTTTTTTTCATCTCAAATAATACATTTTGGCTCTTTTTCGCCAGTTTGGTCTGAATCCACACGAGTTGTTGATCCCTTCTCAGGGCCCTTTGGGGCCCAGGACGAGAATGTATCGAGGTGGGGATAAGGACTTCCAGATATCGGCACGGAAGATGGGCACATCCTTGCTTTTCCAGCTGTCTGCTCATGAAAGAGAGCTGGATTTGGTATTTCTGGACCACAGCTATGCCAAGCCGTGGAATGCCCACCCGGATGCCAGCAGTGCCCGGCCCACGAGGACGCTGTTTGTTACCTCTCGCCGTCAGCCTGAAGTCTTGTCGTGAGTGAAAAAGCTCCTCATCATAATCTGTAACTGAGCTAGATATCAGACTTGGACAGAATTTCAATTGTCCTTAGCCTCCCACTCTCTTTCTTAGCTCTAGTAAAATGAATCCACTAGTGATCAATTCAGTCACTTCATTGTTTTCTTCTTTTCTTTGTCTGCAGAGACGCGGATTCTCTAATAGATGTGGAAACAGTCACACCAACACCCATTCCTCTGTATGATAACCAGAAAGCTCTTAGCGTTATGAAGGAGTGTGAGCGACATGTCCTGTTTGCTCGCACAGTCGCTGAGAGCCCTCCACCTCCCGATGACTGGGAAGAACATATAAACAAGTAATCAAACATTTGGAGTGATTCACCGTTCATTTGCTGTTTTACTTGACACCTGTATTCATCAAAAGTAGCAGTAAGTAACGGTGGAAAGAATCTCGGCATTGTTTTGACATTACCATTATTCTTTTTCAGGACTGGATGGTCGGTGGCCCAAAACAAACTGTTCAATAAAGTTCTTAAAGCTCTGCAAGCTGAAAGACTAGCTCGCCTGGCCAATGAAAATGTAAGTTGTGATCATTTTATCTTGTTCTGTTATCGAAAGCTTTACATTTTACGACATTGTGTAAGTTCTTCTGCACCTTTAGTGAGTGCTGGATTCAAACGTTTTAAAATGTACAGGTCTCTGAAATCACAAGTTATCGCACAGT